AGTTGGGCGTTTGCGTCGTTTGCCGTTCAGCCGTTTGCGACTTGCGACGGTCGGTGGTGTCGGAGCTCGCGCGGAGCGGAGCGGAGCCGAGCCTGTTTCGGCCGCACGGGTAACGATTAGCGAACGCGAATTGAGTCGCGCGCGATCAGTTCGCGCGTGTGCCACGGACGGAAGGATTACACGAGCACGCGATTGTGCTCTCAGTGTGTGTTGCGGAAGAAGACCTGAAGACCATCGAGGACATCGCGACGGTGGTGTGACACGCGCCCCGACGCGCGCAGCAGGTAGCCGGAGTAAACGTCAACTACGTCAAGTCCGAGCGCCACCGGCTTGTTGTCAAGATGGCGTCCAAGGGGAAGCTAGACATCGAGGTCAGTACACTTTCCTCATATTCCTTTTTTTCTCTCCCTCCAGGTAAGCCTGAATACGCGAGACCTCGGGATAAGCCCACGCCGCGCCACCGATGTGTCACCGAACGCCCTGAACGTTGCCGCGCGCTGCGAATTTCTTCGCGTCGAATTTCTCGGCGTCGCGTCGCGCCAAATGCCGCCCACACAGAGCGGCCAACTTCTCGCTATCGTTTCACCTTTCATCCTGTCTGCACTGTCTGCACCAGTGAATCGACATTCGACCAATCGTCCACCTCGCGCCGTGACACGAATTATCGCGCGCGCGCCGTCGCGTCGTTCGCCTCGCTCGCGCTGTCCACGCAGGAACGTCGCGTTGTCCGGCGTAACCACGCCCTGCCACGATAAATCCGTCTGCTTGACTAGCTTGGCTAGCTCTCATCTTTTACGCTTAACGCTTATTCCATTTGAAATCGATTAAGATAAAGGTTCTATAAATACGTGTTTGAATGGAACGACTGTAGTTGAATCCTGGCAATTGATTAACAGAGATCAAGATTTCTACATTCCAACTCTAACGTTGAATTATGTGTGTGTCAGAAAAAACAATTTGTTACGGCAAACTTTCGATTCCAACACGCGTGTCGATTGTTTTAGTTTTCTGTTGTACTTTTCTGTATGTTTAACTGGGGCCATAAATTAAACGCTATACGACGTTACACGAAATGACAAGAGTTTGAGAAAACTTGAATCGAAAATGTGTAACTTGAAGCGATAATTCTGCTCAATTCTTTTACTCGTTTTAAGTATGTCTTGGCAAATGCAAATTGCCAAGTGCAGGTGTCACTAAACAGCGTGACTCACATAGTCTCAGCCATTATTGAGAAGAGAAAATTATGGCACGATTATGGCGGATGACGTACATAGTTTGCTATTCTAAAAAAAAATCGATATTTTTTATTAAAGAAAAGATTTCGTAAAATAAGACATAGATTCACGAGGCATTAAGAGTCAGCGCTAGTACTGATTTGCGCAAATATGACCAACGATGAAAATATATATATAAATAAAATTTGATAACTTGTAAAAGATTTCGCGTTTTGCGCGTAACTTTCCATTGGCAAAGATCCGATGAGAGTGATCGAAAATTTGTAAATAGATAATAAATCTATAAAATAAGGATAAGAGGCACAATATCTTTCGTATCGATTAGAACGTGTACGCTTCATATTCTAATCGTATTATCGTGATTATCGTCCATCGGAGAGAACACGCGCTTCTTCAAATAGATTGACCGCTCGATTGGCGCGATGAACGCTCACACGATAAAAGGCCAAGAATATTTCCTCCGAGATATTTATGTGAGCGACGGAAATATCTCTCTCTCTCTCTCTCTCTCTCTCTCTCTCTCTCTCTCTCTCCTTCCTTTTCGACATCGATATCTGCACCTCGTTAGATGGACATTATTCGTCGTTATCGCAAACAGCCACGCGGCCTCGCTTATCGTCCGAAACGTGCAATTCATAAAGCCTTTTGAATTATTTATTCAGAAATCATGCAGCTGCGTCGCGATACGTCATCTGGTCGAGTTATGCCATCGCCGGTTTTATACACGCGCGACTATTTTTGTAAAAATCACGTGGAGACGAGCCAAATCCGACGGAGAACGGAGGAGAAAGCGAGCGATGATTACATTGTCCCTCTTTTAAGTAAAAATGCACATGGCATTAATAAATATGCGAAAGGACGCACGTCACTCGGAAAGTATTAGTATGCGAGTCTTCTTAGAAATTTTCCTTGTCGATCATATCTGGAACGTTTCAGCATGCAGGAGGTATCGTGCAATCAAAGGGTTCGACACTGTGCAAATTCAAACCACTTTTTGAAAACTTGAAGTTAAACTACACTTGTGAGATCTTCTCTCTCCACTTTAAGTGACTATCTCAGCACTTTTGCAAGACTATATCTTTCATAAATTACTTGCCACTTATTTTAAGAATGATTATGGGAAAAAACCAATCAACCCTTTCTGAAATCAATATATCAGTTTAACTGCACACAGAAAAATATATGTTATATTTAAATATAAATTTGTTTTGCGCGCGCGCACACACGCGCACACACACACACACACACACGCGCGCGCGCGTATTTCAAAAGTTCATATATTCGCAAATCTATCATATATTCATTACGAGCATCAAAAATATTCCGAATCTTGGCGAATTTAATCTTCGATGAAGGTTATTGAATCAAAATAAATTCGATTTGCTTATTATATAAAATCACTTCTTTTATAAAATTTTATTATGTTTTTTGAAAAAAATTCTCATTTTGAGAGTACATAAGTATAATGAATTTTTCTAAAATTTGTAATAAATATATTTTAACACTATTATCAAGAAAATATTTATTGTTAAAGTTAATAGTTACTAAAAACAAAAACAAAAAAAATAAACCAAGTAATCACTTTTTTACAATTAACAATGGAATGATATTTTTCTATGTGTGGTTGTGCATTATATTTAAGACTATCATTTCTAAGACTGTAAAATCAGTACACGTGAAATTACTTTTCATTAATGATAAACGTTTTTACACATATGCTAACACAATTATAAAATTTGCGTAGGTTGCAACTCTTGAGGAGATAGCGTAACCGCTTGCAAGATGCGGTTTTGCGTAACTATCTGCGATATCTATACCGCATATTATCA